GCGTTTCCCCGTGTTGGTCAGGCTGGTCTCGAACTCCTGACCTCAAATGATCTGCCCACCTCAACCTCCCAAAGTGCTGGGATTACAGGCGTGAGCCACCGTGCCCAGCCTAATTTTTATTTTTTCAACTTTTAGGTTCAGAAGTACATATGCAGGTTTGTTACATAGGTATTAATAAGTTGTGTGTCATGGGGATTTGGTGTACAGATTATTTCATCACCCAGGTAATAAGCGTAGTACCCAATAGGTCGTTTTTGGATCCTCACCCTCTTCCCAGCCTCCACCCTCAAGTAGGCCCCTGTGTCATTCCCTTCTTTGTGTCCACGTGTACTCAATGTTTAGTTCCCACTTATAAGTGAGAACATGCAGTATTTGGTTTTCTGTTCCTGTGTTATTTTCCCTAGGATAATAGCCTCCAGCTCCATCCATGTTGCTTCAAATAACATGACCTCTTTCTTTTCTGTGGCTGCATAGTATTCCATGGTATATGTGTACCACATCGTCTTTAACCAGTCTACTGTTGATGGTAATTTAGATTGATTCCATGTCTTTGCTATTGTGAATAGTGCTGCAGTGAACATAACACATGCATGTGTCTTTACAGTAGAATGATTTATAGTCCTTTGGGTATATCCCAATAATGGGATTGCTGGGTCGAATGGTAATTCTGTTTTAAGTTCTTTGAGAAGTCACTAAACTGCTTTCTACAATGGCTGAACTAATTTACATTCCCACTGGCAGTGTATAAGCATTCCCTTTTCTCTGCAACCTCACCAGCATCTGTTATTTTTTGACCTTTTATAATGGTCGTTCTGACTGGTTTGAGATGGTATCTCATTGTGGTTTTGATTTGCATGTAGAATCTTTTAAAAACAGTTACCATTTTCTGTAATTCATTAGAAATTGCCATCCTCACCTATGCATTTTCATCAGTAAACTTTCCAAATGAATTGAAATTATATAGTTTTATTTGCCAAATAATTTTTTCGGAATTCTTGCAAAACAATTTTTCTTGTAATTACCGAGAAAAACTGTAAGGATTGTGTTTACTACTCTTCATAGCATTGTCTAACTGAACATTTTTATTA